GTAATTGCCCCATGATTTAATCTAATTTTTTTGTTAATTATATTAATTATTTTAATTTATGGTCTATATGTCATAATTAGGAAAGAGAATTAATGGTTTTCATAATTATTTTAGTGATTTAATATAATCTATTTTTTATCTAAATTGTGATTGGCTAATGGGAAGGGTGGATTATTGCAAAAACGTGAATTATTGCTATGATTTTTATCTTTCAAATCGATTCATTAGTGAATTATTATGTTTTTATGGATTCACCATATATGGTGGAGTAAGGTTTTCTTTCGAAAGTCTTGGTTAGGAGCGCTACTTTATCCAACTAAAGTTTTCTTTCGAAAGTCTTAGTTAGGAGCGCTACTTTATCCAGCACAAACCATTTTAATTGCATTAGGGGATGAGCGACAATTTCATCTCTAATTAATTTTCTGACACCATTTTTTTTGTTGATGTTACGATTTTTTTTGTTAAATTTTAAAATATTATTTTTTTCTATTAATATTGATGTGTATTGCACACTTTCTAATTATATAGTTTTAGTTTTGTATTCATGACAATTCAATATCATATCATAAAATATTAAATATAAAGGCAAATGAGGATATATTTTACTGATCACTTATTTGTTTGTGTACATTTTTTTCCGAATTTATTTCGTTTTTTCAATTTGTCTATGCAATTTTTTTTACTGATCACGATCACACTTTATTTATCGATTAGACGAATACATTTTTGAATTAAATTATTTAGTGTACCTTGAATTTTATTTTAGTTTCTAATTAATGAGAGTCATATATATGACCAATTAAATACTAACTAAACTCGCGTTCTTTTGCATCAAATACGTTTGTAATAAAAAAATTATTACATGATTGGTCGTCTTTTATTTTGCAGAAAATACGTTTGCAATAAAAAAATTATTGATCAGACAAGTTATAGTATGTTTTGCTTCTATCGAGAAATCTGCATTATCTCAACAGAGATGTTGGAATGCATCTTTATGTTTTATTTCGTTAGAACCTTAAATTGTAAAGAAAGAATAATTGTTGTTTAATTTTTTTCTCACTCTTTTTATCGTTTTTCTG